TGTACCTCCCACATGGTCTCTCTGCCTCAAGTCTTTTTCCCCTTTTAATTTACACCCAAATGACTGCCAGAATGGTCCTTTATTATTATTTTTTTTTAAGCAAGCTTTACACCCAACATGGGGCTTGAACTCACGACTCTGAGATCAAGAGTTGCATCCTCTACTGACTGAGTCAGCCAGGTGCTCAGAAAGAATGGTCTTTCTAAAGCACATACTTGCTTATGTTACTAAGTATGGCCTTTAAGGCCCTTCATGATCTAGTCCCTTCTTACCTCTCCAGTGTCGTCACTTCCTTTTACTCACCATGCGGCATAAACTGACTCCCAACTGCACCTGGCTTTGGCTAGTAAAAAGTGCTGTCTCTAACTCAGGTCTTTATGCCTTTGACACACGTTCCCTCTCCCCCACTCCCTCTTTTTTATTGTTTGATTACTTCCTATTCTGTCGGGAGTCAGCTCGGAGGGTGACCTGAGAATCATGTCTGGGAATTGCCCTTTACTCCTTAGTCTTGATTAACTGCTCCAGCTTGCTGTCCCCATTATACTATGTGCTTATTCCACTTGTGCTGTTTTGTAATTCTGTTTGCTTGTCTTTCTCTCCCACTGACTGAGTTTCATGAAAGCAGAAGTTGTCTTCCTCTCTGTATGCCTAGTTCTGTATACCCAGTAAGTGCTTAGTGAATGGATGGAAGCTGACATCAGAAGCTATTTCTTGGCTTTGGGAAATCTCTGAGTCCAGTAAAAGTCATTGAGATATTAATCTAGGAGTTCTTGTGTGCTTGTGATTACAGTGCTCTTGAGACAAAAACTTGGAAAGTTTATAGAGGTCACAAGCCAGCTGTGCTAAGGAAACCAAGTACAGGCAGACCCTGCTTTTGTTTCCTTACATTTTATCGGTCTGCTCCATTGGCTGTACTAAAAATAGCATCTCTATTAGTGATATCGCAATGTGAAAATTATCTGGGAACAAAGCTGCTTTTAGTGCACCTACCTGGCAGCAGAAGGTTTGGGAGACCTTGGTCTTCCTTTCCCTGGACCCATGCAGCCTGAAGAGGAGGAGGTGGTGTCAGATCAGAAGTCCCCTCAGAAGTAGGTGTTGTAGGACGCAAGCCTGAGTCACCCACCAGAGTCAGGTGGGGGGAGTTGTGTGTGGCAGACTGAGTGTGACTCTCAGAATCACTTGGAGAGTGAGGCGGGCATGTTCCTGCAACACACACAAGCCAGGGTGGCTGAGCAGTCATGGCAACAGCCTGCCTCTCCTGGTGGGGGGGGGATGGGCTTGGGGGCAGTAAGTAGTCGTCAGTGAGGACATCCTCAGATGAAGCTTAAATCAGGCAATGTGTTTGATTGAACTCCTGCAGTGTTCCACACGGATTGTACTGGAACACACCTTAAGAGCTCTTGTTATTTGTACCACTGATAACAAAGCTTGTGGCTGTAAAATAGAATGTTGAGGTATACTTTTTTAATAATAGGGATATTGCTGTAGTCCATTTTGCATCCTAAGCCACTCATCTTCAGTTTTAACTGCTGATTCCTGGTTTCTCACAGCCCGTGGAACCCTGGCATTTTGCCCTTTCAACACAGGAGTGCCATCTGTGGTAAAAGAGAGTAACTATAGGCTGTACAGTACATAGGGAAACAATCCAGGGTTTATGTATTTTTTTGCCATTCTGCTTCCCAGAGCTTTTTTTAGGAATGCATTATGGGTGAAAGTAAAAATCGGCAGTATAACCCAAGATTTGTGTTCATGACACAAAGCTGCAAGTTGCCACCATCCTCGTGGTAGAGGCAGCGTGCTATCTGGTGATAGGGACAGAGAAAGCCAGGACAAGAAAACCAACACCTGCTTTGGAATGCTCATCTGAGTCCAGCTCCTGATTATATTAAAGAGGAGTCATAATGTCCACTAATTTCAAGGCGTGGCGCTGCCCCCAGAGGACACACAGTGACTACGTGGGCATTTCATCAGTTATCCATCAGGCCCATTGCGTATTAAATGGCAAGAGAAAATTCCATTGATTTTAGTCTTCTAGTCCTTTTATGGTGTTTCCAAACCAGTCTTGGGGTCAAATATGGTGTGGAAAATGGCCAAGAATTGACAGGGTATCTAAGAAACCATCTGTGCTTTACACAGAGATACCAAGTACTGCTGGGGCAGAAGAAATGATATAAGGACATCCTCAGAGGAGGCTTAAATCAGCCCCTGTGCTTGGTTGAACTCCTATAGTGGGCTTGGCACTGGGAGTGGGGACAGATCCAAAATAAATAAAAGGCATAGTCCTTGCCCATGGAGAATACAGTTGAACTGTAGAGACGGTAAATGTACAGACTTCTAAGAGAGAAAAAGCTCCATGAGGTAGTAAGTGCCACATGAGTGGCTCAGATAATTCAGGGACATGCCAGGAAAGAGAAGTAAGTGTAACACTGGGATCAGCTTTTGAACCAAGACGTTAACTTGCTAGTTTAGCAAAGAAGCAAACCAAAGGACAGTGTGTGCATGTTTTGGGGCCAGGGGTATTTTTCAGCCACTCACGATTGGTAATCCTTTAATCAGCAATTGCTTCATTCATGAAGGACAGCAAGATAAATGCTTGGTATAAATTCCAGTTCAGAACCTGGGCCAAAGCCTACTACCAAAGCCTTAAAGCAAAGTATCATCTGGAACTGGAGAAGAGGAGGCCTGAGTAGGAAATAAGATCAAGACTAGGAAGACTTGGGGAAGTTTTAATTTCTGGAGATGAGGGTGGCAGAACCAGAAGTCTGACTACTACAGATTGCCAGGGTTGATAGAATCTGATCTTATTAGCTGGGCAGATGTCCCTTCCTGCCTACAGATCCTCCAGGATCTGTCTGCCTGGGTGGGTTTAGGCAGGATGGGCAGGGAGGATGGCTAGTGGGCGACTTGGCTGAAGTTGAGCCCTAAGGTTGAGCCAGGTCCTCTCCCTGGGGTGTGAGCCCTCTGGGTCAGGGGCAGGGCTCATCTGAGGAACCTACCAGGAGCACCACGCCTGGCTCATTAGTGGATGTCTGGGAAGGCCTTTGAAGATGAAACACTCCATAAGCACTCATTGTTTCTGTTTTTTGGACAAACTAGTACTTTGGTCTCCAGGGGCTGTCGATCTGGCTCCTTTGTACTAGTCTGGAATTTGCTGCAAACTGAGGAGAGTAGGAAACAAACAAAACTGAAATAGTTTTTGAGAAAACAGCTCAACTCCCACTAAACCCCCATGCTTTAGCTTGTAAATCAGATTCCTCCCCATCCACCTTTCACATTCTTGGGTTTGGGTGCACTCTGTCTTGACCTGTTCCTTCGCCTGCTGGGTTTGGTGTGTGTGTGCCTCTGGTTCCCAGACTCTACGGAGAATGCCAGCAGCTGGCATATGGTGATTGCTGAATAAGCTGCCCGCGGACGCCTGTCTCCTGCAGGCACAGAGAACTGGCTGCCATGGGCGATCCTGAACCCTATTTCACTGGCTCAGAAATGCATTTCTGTGGCCATCCTGTGCCATAGAGAAGGGAGGGAAGAGGAGAGGGAATGAGTGACTCCAGGATTCTGTCTTTTGGGGGCAATGGGTGGGGTGGGAAGATAGGCACTTTGTGCCTTCGTAGTGCTTCTTACTGCCATCTTCGTGTTTTTAGCAGATAATTTGTTAAGATCCTAGTATGCACCAGGCATAAGTTTCCAGTCAGTCTTAGTGAGCTGCTTAGTAAGGTCGGTATTAGACCCTGGGAGTTTTAGTTCATTTGTTCAGCTGCTATGTACCAGGCACTATTCAAGGTACCAGGAACATAGCAGTGAACAAAATAGATAAGGAGCTGACATTGTGGTAGGAGAAAAACAGTACAGCAAGAAACAAATGTGTGATGTGTCTGATGGTGATAAATGCTATGAAGAAAAATGAAGGATAAATGGGGTAGAGAGTGATGTGCGATCCACAACCATTAGAGGTGGTTGTGGAAGACCTCTTTGATAAGGTGATATTCAGATGGTTAACCTGAAGGAAGTGAGGGGATGCTCCATGAAGGTTATCTGGGAGAGGAGCATTCAGGGCAGAGCGAAGAGTAAATACAAAAGCTTTGAGGCAGGAAAGTGTCGGGGAATTGAAGTGGGGTAAGCCAAGAGAAGAGTAGTAGGAGATCTAACGAGAGAAGCAGGGGAATGCAGATCGTGCAGGACCTTGCAAGCCATGGTATGGTTTTGGATTTTACTGAAAGGGAGACAGGAAGCCAAGAGAGGGTTTTGAACAGAGAAGCAGCATGACCTGATTTTGGTTTTAAAAGTAGTCTGGCTGCTATGTGGAGAACAGACTGAAGGGGGTTAGGGAGGAGGCAGGGAATGAGGTGACTGCCTCCTTGCAGGTGAGAAAGTGGAGAAGCTGTCCTTGGATGGGCCACGATGAGCCTAGGAATGAGGGGTAGCCTAGGCACACCGTTGTATGAACAGGGCACAACTTTCACCTTATTTCTTCCTGATTAATTTTGGTGTGTGGAAGGAAGGTGGAATTGCAGACATACGGAAAGGGAAGAAGTGAAGTCTCTTGATTTGAGCATGGACCTTGGGGACCTGGCAAGCCCGAACCTTGTCAGGAGTCACAAAGAGCCACTCCTCATTCCGCTCCCTCCTCTCCCAGCCTTTCCAGGAGTCTCAGGGGAAGGTTGCGGGAGGGAGGGGCATTCATGGTCTTGCAAGGCCTTATATGGTATAGAGTGTCAGAACTGAAGGGACTTCAGAAGTCATCTAGTTCAGTCCCTTCCATTTATAGGGGCAGATATGGACGGGGGGGAATAACTCATCCAAAGTCACACCAGTACATTATGGCAGAGCAGGGGTCCTGAGTGTTCACGGCTTTGTCTCCGCTCCCAAAGACTCAGGATGTTTCTGAGTGGGACTTGATCTTCATAGCTTCTTATAAATTCCAGCCATGACTCTGGCAAATCCCATTTACATGAAATCCTGACTAGCAGATGTGTTAATGAGTTTATGTTTCTTTGCCTTAGGATTGAGTTCTCCATACCAGGGCCCAGGCCAAAACCAGACTGCCACTGCCCCCACTTGAGCCCTCCTGTCCTCAGAAAGTGGTTGCTGTGATCATGGGTAATATCTTTGGAAACCTTCTGAAGAGCCTGATTGGGAAGAAGGAGATGCGTATCCTGATGGTGGGCCTGGATGCTGCAGGAAAGACCACCATCCTGTATAAGTTGAAACTGGGGGAGATCGTCACCACCATCCCCACCATTGGTAAGGGCACAGCTTAGATGTAAGCTTTCATGCCAACAGCTGGGCCAGGCAAGGGGCCTATTCCTAGATCCCCCACCTGGCCACCAGGCAAGTCTATGCAACTTGGGGAGATTCAGGGAAGGATGGTTATTTAACTTACTAGCAGGTGCTGGGGCTGCCGTTTGCCCACCTACCCGGGCCCTCTCTGATGCGGGAACTTCCGCAGCCTGGCACTGAACAGTTGCCCTCAGGCACTGAGCTGGTTTGTTCTCTGTGTTGTTTGGAAAGCAGGTGAAAGGCTTTGATGTTCCTGCCAGAGGCCAGGAGTTGTTTCACTTTAGATCCTCAGTGTACCTGATCCTGGTTAAGACCTGCCTGTGGGAGGGAGAACGTTTGCCTTATAGATGGGGCTCCAGATCATCATTGTCCACTGGTTCTGCATTTGGGGCTCCAGGACTAGAGCTCACTTTTTCTTCACTGTGTTTCCCAGGCCCTACATTTTAGCTGCAGCAGACTCATGATGGTTGAGGTACCGGAGTGGGGCTGAGTCATTTCTTTGCAGGAGAGAGAGACAAAGACAGAGAATGAGCAGAGAAGGTTAGCTCATGTTACCAAGGGGATTGTGAACCTCCAGACTGGCCGTCCTCATCCTCTTCCACTTTTTCTCTAAGGTTTTTTTTGTTTTGTTTTGTTTTTTAAAGATTTTATTTATTTATTCATGAGAGACAGAGAGAGGCAGAGGGAGAAGCAGGCTTCCCGCGGAGCAGGGAGCCCGATGCGGGACTCGATCCCAGGACCCCAGGATCATGACCTGAGCCGAAGGCAGATGCTTAACCATCTGAGCCACCCAGGCGCCCCATCTAAGGTTTTTTTTTTGGCCTTTAGGCTACTAGGTCAGGGAATACCAGGCCTGAGGAAGCCTCAGCTTTCTTTCCTTTGCTAGGATCAGAGCCAGGCTGGGGGAAACAGAAACCCCTGGGGTATTGTTTGCAGGCCTGGTGTTTGAGGCCAAGTGGCCATTGTCTGTTTTTTCCAAAGGGTTCAACGTGGAAACAGTGGAGTACAAGAATATCAGCTTCACAGTTTGGGACGTGGGTGGCCAGGACAAGATTCGACCTCTCTGGAGACACTACTTCCAAAACACCCAGGGTATGGCATATGAATTGCCCAGCTTGGCATGGGTTGGTCGGATGTGAGCAGAAGTTGTGGCTGTCATTCTTGGTTATGGGCAGCCAATCCTTGCCCTGCTGCAGCTCCTAGGGGTGGGAGAACAGGAGGAAAGGGAGCAAATATTTGGAGGGTGTATGGAGGGTGTTGTCTTTTGGTGGTAGGGATGATGGGAGTTCATCTGCTGTCTTACGCAGCACATGCTCTGCCTCCCTAGGGTTGATATTTGTGGTCGACAGCAATGATAGGGAGCGAGTAAATGAGGCCCGAGAGGAGCTGATGAGGATGCTGGCAGAGGATGAGCTCCGGGATGCAGTGCTCCTTGTCTTTGCAAACAAACAGGTGAGACTTCTCCCCACCCTGGATTTGAGAGACGTCAACCTGGCTGTGGAAATCCTGGCATTGGGGCTCATTGTAGGGGAAGCCCTGTGACTGTGTTCTCAATTTTGGAAGTGTGGGGAATATGATTAGCTGGCTTCTTTATGTTCCTCTTCTTGTCCCCTACCCAGCTTTAATTAGCAACACTTCTGTCCTCAGGGATTGGTGTGGTAGATACCTCAAATCCCTCCTTCATCTTCCCTGTTGTCTAATTTAGTGGAACTGCCCTCACTCCTATAGTCAGACAGACCTGATTCTTTGCCCAGTCTGAATCACCTCTTCACTTCCCTACAACCCCATATTTGGTTTGCAGCTCCCCAATGGAATGACCTTTAGCGCCTTGGATCTATGGTTCTGGGTTGAATAAATCCAAAGCAGCTCTTTAGGACCTTGTTCTGGTTCCTACAGTGGAGGAGGAGAGGGTGCTGGTACACATCTCTTTGATAGATGGGTGTTCTAGAAGCCTTTGAAAGATCCTGAGCCTCCTTTTTGTGTGTCTCCCTCATGCTCCAGGATTTGCCTAATGCTATGAACGCTGCTGAGATCACAGACAAGTTGGGCCTGCATTCTCTGCGTCACCGCAACTGGTACATTCAGGCCACCTGTGCCACCAGCGGGGACGGGCTGTACGAAGGCCTGGACTGGCTGGCCAATCAGCTCAAAAACAAGAAGTGAGAGCCAGGCAGCCCTATCCGACCGCCCCACCTATCCTTGACACACCTACTGTCTCCCTGCCCCAGCTCTGCCCCTTCCTTCCCGTTGCCAGTGTGGCCAGGGCCCTGGGTATCATGTCCGCATGCCCAACAAGAGCCTTGCCTCCCCTGCCTCCCCTCCTCTCCCCTGTCCATGACCAGTCCCCGTTGCTGTCCTGATGATGAATCATTCCAATTTATCGGATTTAAAACAAAAACAAGGTTGTTATGGTTTCATGGGTGGCCCCCCCTCATCCTCTGGGGTTTGGGAGGTGGGGTGGGGTATTCTCTCCGTTCGCTTCGTTTGGCTCTGGTTGCTGTGCTCTTGGCATCTCAGTCCCTTCCCTCTCCCCACAGGTTCCTCTCCCACTCCCCGTCTTCCTTTCCTTTGCCACTCTCTCCCTGTTCTACATGGAAATTGCACGGGCCTCTCTGTGTGTGCGTGCATGTGTGCGCGTGTATATACATGTATAGAGAGATATATATGCGGGGGCCAGGGTGGAGGTGTGGAGTGCAGCTCGGTGCTGGGAGCCAGGTCACTGCCCACTCCAGCCTACCATCTGCCCCTCCCATGTTGGTGAGATAAAGGGAAGAAGGTAGAGGGAAGGCTGCCCCAGTCTTGAGCTGGTTCCTCTCCTCTCTGCAGGTAGGTTTTTCTGGATGATAGGACAGATGATGGATTTTCCACCGCCATCTTCCTTGTACCCCTCTCTACATCCTGTTCAGGGCAGGGGGATGGTCTTTATCTCTAGATGACTGTTCCCAAGGAGATGCTATTCTGCCCTGCCTTGTTATTGGGAAGGAGAGAAGAGCCCACTCACTCTTGTCAGCCCAGTGTTCAGCTGATCCTCCTCCTCATCCTTAGATCTGTTCCTCAGGAGCTTGTGAGGAAGATGGGGAGAGCAAGACCATGGGGTGTGTTTGGGATCCAGGGCACTGGGGGGTGGGCCTCAGGTTTTCCATCTTCATCCTCTTGTGTTGTTAGGAGAAGGTGAGGCATGGATCAGTCTATTCCTGCCCTCCCATGCCCCCCCCCATCTTCTGATCTTGGAGACTGGGTGGTTTATCTGTCCTTTGTCAGAAGTTTCCTCACCCTAGTAGTCCTGCTGACCTGACCGGGGCTGGCTGGGTGGTTTAATGGGGAGCAGGGGAGTGGGGGTGACATAGCAGACCTCAGTTTCAATTCCCCTATTCTCCACTTCTCTCTTTCTCTAGTCTAGGATGTGCTGAAGGCTGAAAATTTTCTGTTCTGTTTCTAGACCCTCAGACTATCCTGCTGTCCCTCCTCACTCCACCCCAACAGTTTTCTCCTGCCCGTTTCAGCCACTTCCCATGAATCCATTTGAGGTTGGAGTGGAGGAAATTAGAACTCTGAAGTAGTTGTTGGTGCTGGTGGGATGCAGTGGTCTTCAGGGTCCTCCCCCCATTATTATGTAGTTCAGAAGCTGCTGCTACTGCGTCTCTCTGTTTACAGGGGGCGCTTGTCCCTGAGGTCCTGGCCCGGGTCCTGACTTTGCGGTTTCTGTGAAGCCGTGGCTTTTCTGTGGGCTCCTGTGTGTGCTGGCTGCGCCCTGAGCTCCAAAACGGCCGCCCATAACCTTTCTGCTATGGTCAGGGCCCCGGCACCCTGTCCTCCCCCCTACCCCCCCCAGAGCATGGCTGAGGGACCCCTTCCCAGAAGGACTGTCCCAAGCCCCACCCCGTGGGGCCAGGCTTCCTGCCACCTTTGTCTACAACAGGCAGATCAGTACCCCCACCCTACCCCAGGTTGAACTGTGAAAGAGAGGTTCCAGGGGTGTCTCCCTCAGTGCCAGTTCCTTAGTGATGTACTGTTTACCCAAGATGCAGTGGGAGTGTGCAGGTCTCCTGATCTCTAGGCCTGTGTGTGTGTGTGTGTGTGTGTGTGTGTATTTGGTGGCAGGGGTGAGGGGAGAGGTATGCTGGAGCTTCTAGTTCATTTTAACATGTATTCACTCCCCTGACTGCACGGATGCTTCCCTCCCCCCCTTTCCTTTGCCTCTGCCTCTGTTTCCTCATTTTTTTGCTCCTGCCCCTGTTGCCTCTCCCCTCCTGAACTGTTGCCTTTGCCTTCTCAACTCATTCACTGCTGTTGCCTGTCTCCCCTTTCCTTGTTTCGTTCCTACTTAGGATTCCCCACTCTTGGTCTTTGCAGTAGCTGAGGATTTTACCTCTTCTCCTGCCTCCCAGTCTGACCCTCCCTAGTTAGATGGCAGTCCCAATTAGGTTTTTCTTATTTAAGGCCCACCCCTACCTTGTTTTGGGGGGCTCCAGAGACCAGTGGGCCTGAGGGTGTTAGCAAGCAGCCTTGGAGGTTGCCTTGGTGCTGCTCAAGGATCCATCCAGCAGGGGGGAGCAGTAAGTGATCTTGGTAGTATTCCTGGTTGCTAGGCCCTTGGCAGGGGTGGGTGGTCCTTTCTACATTCCCATTCTCATAAAAGCTCTTTCTGGATTGGGTTTCTCATTCCATTTTTGCCTGTTCCCTCCCACATTCTCCTGTGGTAGATTTCATTTTATGCTTTCCTTTGTTACAGCCTTTTCCCCCCCTAGAGATTCCCCTCTGGGCCCCCTCCCCCAGCAGAGTGTGTTTTGTGATGTTACAGTAGTAACTGCAGTTCTGGTTTTTCTCTTCTTCTTTTCTCCTCTGGACTGTAGACTGTATATGTTTAATGACTCACCTTCTCTCTCCTTGCCCAAAATGTGGGATACGCGATGACTGTGACCCTGGTTGGAAATTAAACTTGTTTTATGCAGCTTTGGAGCAGACCTTCATCCTTGATGTGCAGCAGCATGGGACAGTATTTAAATGGTGAGGGTACTTCTGTCTCTGGTCCCTCTCTCTAGACTGCTCCTTCTCTCAGCAGAGGGGCAAAGGGTACACTTGACAGGGGGAGAGTGAGGTTATGGAGGAACTTAGGCTTATTTCTACACTGCTTACTACTTTCCATCATACTCTGGAGGGGAGCCTGAATGAATTGGGCACCAGGAATGCGAGGGCTTCGTGACTTTGCTCTTTTAGTTGTAAAGGATTTCATCCTGTTCTTAGCCTTGTTTATCACCTGTTGGTAGACATTAGGGACTTCATTGGCTAGAGGGCCCTGAACTTGGAGTGACCCACCCTGCCTCCACTCTCAGATCTCCCTAGCCCTGTGCAATCAGGTGCTTCCGGTTGGAACAGGGTCCCCTCATCCATAGATTGGAGTCCCCTCACCTATCTAGTTCTGGACTTTGGCAGTGGTAAACATGAAGGGTAAAGGTCTGGATGGTATAATGAACTTGATCCTCCTTACAGCTATGGCCCTGTATCACCTCTGCTTCAGGCATACGGTTCCCCATTGTCAGGATGCCAAGCCTCATCCAGAGATTCCACAGTGTCTTGAGGGAAAGGACAAGCCTTTGCCCTCCCAGCCCACTCCTGCCACTACTCTCTTCATCTCCTGCTACTACTGTCTGGCCCCAGGAAAAGAAAAAGATGGAGCATCCCCTTCCTTTGGTGGGTGAGGTCTTGGGGAGCTAGGGAGGCCTTCCCCACTCTCACCACTTTCTTAAGCTTTGGGGACAGAGACCTTCCCATCTTGATGTGGGAAGGGACAGGATTTAGGCATACAGTAAGTTTGAGAGCCCCAAGTACCAGTGTGAAATAAATCATTTGTATTCAGTTACCTCTGTGCTCCTCAAAAGTCCTGCTTGGTGACCAAGGTTACTGATAAGAGCACCTTTTTCCCAAGTGCTTTATTTATACATTAATAAGCATATTCCTTCTAGTACTATAGCCCCTCATAAGATAATGATAATGGAAAGGACTTTAGCTGGATGGCAGGTCAGTGGGTGTCTTTTGACCCCTGAAGAGGATGACCTAGTCCCTTTTGTCCCTCAGTACTCCCATTTAAGATGCCAGGAAGGAGGTGGGGGGAGCCCTCTTGTGGCAGTTCGCTTAAACTTTCCAGCTTCTTTTGAGGGCACATGGTGGGATGGGGGAGAGACTTAACCTGGAAGATACATGTTCAGCATCCAGCTCTTAGGACAAATAGCAACCATATCTGCCCAGAACTTGAATAGCTCTTCAGTTATGGTTTGACAGAAGACTTGAGGCCCAGGGTCTACTTCAGAATAATTTGGGCAAGGGAGTTTCCAACATGAGCCTGGAGAGAGCCAGTGGAAGGCCTTGGATTTGTCTGGGTGGGATGGAGAACAGAACTGTCCCCTTCATTTCAGAGTTTGGGGACAGTGACAGGGAAAGTGAGTGTGGTATGTAGGAGTTTCTCAGACTTGAGGTATAAGGTCTGAAGGCTCTGAGGGTTCACTGCATCACTTCTAGTTCAAGTGCCAGATTGGTCAGAGCAGAAAAAACAGGTATTTACTTAGTACCTTTTAGGGTTCCAGACCTGTGCTAAGAAGGAAGTCAAACCACTGTTCTGATGGAGAGACCTGGGAATCCATTTCTGGGATGCTCTGAAATCCTTTGGGATATCCATCCATAGTGCAGCACGTGGGGTAGTGAGAGTTGGGGAATAACTGTGTGGGGGATACCCCTTTGCTGCTGCTTGGTGCACAGGGTGTTGTCTTTGGGCAGGCAGTCACAGTACTAAGAACACTTCTTTTCCAGTTCTGAAGGGTGTGGAGATAGGAGGGCCAAAGTCCAGCTCTCTACTTTCTAACCTGGTAACTGGAGGAATAGAGTAAGTATCCTGCTCGTCACTGGGGAGCAATAGGATCCAGAGGCCTTCCTTCCTCTGTAGGTTTTTCAGTCTAATTGGGTTTCCTGGCCCTGGCTGCTGGGATTGGGTAAGAATGACCCCGAGTTCCTGAGCACAGGGAAGAGAAGGTTAAATCTGAGGAAGTGCAAACCTTGGGAAAGGGAGCAGTGCAGTGGCTGGAGGTCTGGAAGTGAGGAACTTGGGTCAGGACTATACACCATCACGGCTTGAAGGTGAGTGTCTGCTTGTGTGTGTCACTTTGGCCATGAGCTGCAGAAGAGAGTGGGTGAATGAGGGCATAACCATACCTAAAAAGAAAACATTTTGTCATCTAAGGTATACATGCCCTTGAAAATATGGCATTAGATTTTGAATCCAGATTTACATATGCTGACTCACAGGCTTTTTGTTTATTAAGTCTGTTAAAAATAAACAGATTAAAAATATTTAAAAAGCAGTGCCCTGCTTACTGTCTGGCACATAATAGGCATTCAGCCTTGATGAATGAATAAACATCATTGT